TAAGTCCTTTGACAATACCCTTTGCCTTAGATTTAGATGTGCCTGTTGACAGAGAACTTGACCTTTGACCTGCTTTCACGTTTCTGAGCCCTGGCAAGATACCTTTTCACAATGCTTTATTTTTACAAGGCCTGTGCTGCATTACTTTGGCAAGGCCGGAGGCCTATAGCGGGTAAAGGCCCTTTTACTTGAAGTTCTGTCTTTTTTTTGTCTTTTTTTTTCTTCTTTTATTCCGATTTTTTTATTATTATTATTATTATTATTATTATTATTATTATTATTATTATTTTTAAACATGTCCCTTCTATATTCCAAAACAATTCAAGGGAGGCCGGGGACCTCACAACTCCACCCGGAGTTATCCCGGAAGCATCAGCCGAATTAGCTTATCCAGTAGCCAAACACCCCAACAACAATTAGAGCTTGCCTACTTCAAAGCACCACAACTCGCACTTCCTTCTACCTGTTACCGACCTTCCTACCAGGGCCTAGCTTGGGCTCTTGTGACAGATGCACTCTTTTTTACTCATTCACCAATTTGTCATCTCTTCAGATACTCTCTCTACCGTCATTTGCTGCATATTTCTCCTAATACTACCCTATTGCTAACTAACTAACCAACTAGCAGCCTACCTCACGCTCCTGCACAGGCCTAATACGGCCTGACACCAGTCTACTCCTGACCGATCGGAACCTGGTTCCCCGTTAACATGACACTCTGCCACCCTCCTCCCCAAGGTGACCTCCTGCGGTCTGAGCCTCGAACCGAGATGGCCTGGTTCATAGCCTCCCAGCTACAACTACTACCCCTCCTATCCCCCCTCTAGTAACCAGTTGGAAAAGACCAGTCCCCGGGAACGGTGGTAGCTGGCTAGCTGGTTCCGAATCGCCCAGGTCTTCAGAAACCACCACAGTAGACGTCTGCAGGCTTTCCCTTCCTTTGCCTTCCTCCGCCAGTCCGCTGCTATCGCCTGACGCATGCCCCTCTTGATTGCTGCTTTCAGTTCATTGTCTGAAAAGGGGCGCCTTTCGAACCTGGAACGATTACGGTCTGCCCAGATAACTCCGCAGATTACTGCCCTGGCCACCTGTGCTACATAGGGCCAACCTCTGAGCCCAGTACAGTCCTCCTTGGAGAATCCCAGAAAGACCCATGTCTCGTCCCATTCAATCCCTTCTCCCCCATCAGCTGCCAGTGTATTTCCCACCATCGCTAAATGCATCTGGATGCCGGGCAATCCCACCACAAGTGACGGGTGGACTCGAAAGGCCATCGGCAGCGAGTGCAACCTAAGTCCCCTTCCATTCCCCGAGCTCTGAGCCACACTGCGAGGAGGTCACCAACAAGGAGAGCATCCACAGGATACCCGCGTGTTTCACATTCAGGAGGCTCAGCAGGACTCTCCACAGTTTCCTGAAGCTTTCTGCCTCTTCTTGCAGATCTACCGGCAACACCGCACTCCATCTGGCAATTGTCACCGATGCGGGAGAACGCACGGGCTTCCTGGCCATCGAGTAAGATTCCCCTGCTAAGAATGTAGCTAAGTTTAGGCCCTGTGGATGCGCCCTGGTAATTCGCCCCTCCGACCAGCTCCACGCCAGGGGGTCGATTGATAGGTGCCGAACTGCCGTCTGCCCTACCCAGATAGTGTCCCTTACCATCCCTCTCCCGTCTCTTCTCTGAATCACCCGTATCAATGGGGGATTGTCCCGGATATGGATCATTAGATCTTGGCCTTCTGACAGACTACCATCGGTGGGGCAGACTGACCAGACTGTCACCTTCCTAAACCCGCTGCTCAACACCTCCTGTAGCTTCCACACTGAGGGCAGGGAAGTTGAGACTATCGATGTGTACCATGTGTAAGGTGGGTCCTGTCCCTCTGGGCCCAGTAAAACCTTCCAGTCCTGGGGGATAGCCTGCTTTAGTGCTGAGAGATGGGCTTCCACATTTCTGAGACCATGAAGTTTCCCTTCTAATTCGCTCCTTGGTCTCCACACTCCCATCAAAGGATCCCGTAGGTCTAGGATCGTGCGTACTCCCCTTTGGACCCACACCCTCCCGAAGGACCCGGCTGAGGCATTGGCTAGAAACTCGATTTCCTCACTGTCTGTGATTGCAGGGTTTTCAAACAGACACTATCTCAGAACCTCCTCCCTTGAGGTCGGTGGGGCACTTGAGTCGGGGGGGTAAGCCACCCAGGCTCTACGCACACCCTCCCAAACTCTGATTTCAACCTTCGCCTCATAAACGACTTAATGACAAAGCAAACCCATACCTCCCCTTGTCTGGCGAACTGCCATTCCTGCATTAAGATCTGTTCCCCCAGCAATATCCAATCCTCTCTCTGATCCGACAGTGCCACTTTTGCCACCCATGATCTGAGAAACACCTGGTTCTTGAGTTGTGGATCCACCATCCCCAATCCCCCCTGGTCTTTATCGTAGGTCATTAAATCCCAGGCCACCTTCACCAGGAAACCCTCCTCCATCCCCCCTCGTGGTTTCCAAAGAAACCTTGCAACCAAGCGCTTGATCTCTGCAAGCACTGGGCCTGGGAGCTCTCTCACATGCGCCACGAACCACAGCAGAGGGAAG